GCTATGGAAGACACTTTTCTAGAAGTAGGATTTTTTCCTTAAAGCCAGATACTAAAGAGGACTCAGAGCCTCTGGAGTCATTCCTCTGACTCCTACTCATAGCTAGGGCCTAGGAAAGATGGGAGGCCAGGATGGAAGGAAGAGAAGGAGACCTGAGAGATGAGATGAAGGGGTATACTCATGGCTGCTTCCTTCTCTATCCATTCAGTTCTTTTTATTTCTGGTGGTGGGAGGGGATGTTATCTTTATTATCTTTAAGTAGTTGTACAAAGGAATTGCCACTCAATGAAGCAGCTTCTGAATATAGTGCATCTTGATCAGTGTCACCCCTTTCCACATTCTCTCCCACCCTTTCCCTCACTTTTCTTCATTTGTAGTTTATACGTTGAATTTTTTTAACCATTTAACCAATCAGTTTATGGCTACAATGCATCTTGATCTGTGCCATCTCTTCAACATCTTCACCTCCCTTCGACCCACCCCCTCCCTTATTTTTCTCAGTTCTGTGGTATATATGAAGCTGTCTCGCCTGCATTCTCTCTCCTTCCCCTTCATTCTTCTAACCCTCTCCCCTTGACCCTCCCCTCTTGCAAGTACTCATTTCCTGGTACTTATTTCATTGGGCTTTGACTTCGTCTCTCTAAAGAATTATACTATTTGAATTCTCCATGGAGTCTGTTATACTTTAGTTCATTCATTCATTTGTAACCCATTCTTACCACCCAGTGTGTTTACTTATAGATTTATAGGTACGTCCTAGTTACTACAAATGAAGAAAACCATTCAACCTGTGTTGCTCTGGGTCTGGCTTACTTCACTTCATATAATTCTTTCCCAAGTCTTTCCAATCCCTTTCTCTCCTCCTAGCCGTGCCTCCAGTTCTTAGAGTAGGTACGTAGTTCTTAGGTAGGCTCAGAGTCTCACACCACCTCCTTCACCCTTGATTCTGTAGTTAATGTCACACTGTGTTGGCCACTGAGGATTCAAAGGTGAATTTGCCACAAGCCCTGATCTCAGAGACTCATAGCTTAGTGAGAATACTGACACCAGCTAACTGGAAGGAAATGTGGTCACTGCTATTCCCAAGATGCCATTGGAGTACAGATAGAGACATTTGATTTGGGGGGGAATAGAGGGTAAAGAAGACCCACAAACCAAGGTTTAGTGATGCCCAGTTGTGTAGATATATTGGACACCGCTGACTTGTTGTACCTAACAAAACTTCCCATCCTGACCATTTTTTATTGCCTTTTATTACAATTTTAAAAATGAAATGATACTTAACAAAACTTCCAGTTGGCTTAGGCATGGTAACCCAAGGCTTCTTGGTAACTATTTCCTAACTGTAAAAATGTAGAGAACTACCGTAGTGGCCCTGGGGAATGAGCCTCCTGTTGGGTCTTGGAGTGAGATTTTCATTGTGAATGGATTTCCTCAGAGAGGAGCACAAAAAAGGCAAGGCAAAGGGGGCGGGATAAGCAAAGAGAGCAGGGGCTAGCTGAATTGCATCCAGATGTGTGAGGAGGTGTGATGAGGAGGGAGAGATCAGGAGGAGCTGAGAGGGCTTTTATTTTTTTTCTTTTTTGCCGGTTGTGGACCTGAACTCTGGGCCTAGGTGCTGTCTCTCAGCTCTTCAGCTCAAGGCTAGCGATCTACTGCTTGAGCCACAGTGCCACTTCCGGCTTTTTCTGTTTATGTGGTGCTGAGGAATCGAACCCAGGGCCTCATGCATGCAAGGCAAGCGCTCTACCACTGAGCCACCTTCCCAGCCCTGGCTTTTTATTTTTTAGTGAAATTTACCTAACAAAAAATAATCCTTTTAACTATTTTAAAGAGTAGGTCTTAGGGGCATGCCTTGCATACATGAGGCCTGGGTTCGATTCCTCAGCACCACATATGGAGAAAAAGCTGGAAGTGGCACTGTGTCTCAAGTGGTAGAGCGCTAGCCTTGAACTGAAGAGCTGAGGGACAGCGCCCAGAGTTCAGGCCCCACGACCGACACACACACACACACACACACACACACACACACACACACACACACACAAAACAATGCTGTGCACTCCGTATCCATTCCCCATTCATTCCCAGTACTAAACAGTGTCCAAAAAAATCTTTGTTTGATTTTTACTTGTTCTTTTCTATTTTGGGCTCAGCCTGAATACGTAGTCTTGACTTACCTTCAAGCTCACAGATCTTTCTTCTTCTCATTTGAATCTGCTGTTGAACTCATCTACTGAATTTTCATTCCAGTGACTGTACTTTTCAGGTCCTGATTTTCTATTTTATTCCTCATAATAATGTCTTGTCGCTATCCTCTGGTGAAATATTGTCGTCTTGGTTTCTATTTTGCCTAATCTTTATCTTCTTTAGTATTACGACAGTCTAGAAATTCTATCATCTATCCCTGCCTTTCCCTGATATAAAATTGTTAGCCTCGTGATTTGGGGAGTCAGTGTGGACACCTGCTGGTACCAAGAATGTCTGTTCTGTTCCTGTGCCTATGCATAGACCCATAAACCAGCCATGAGCTGGACTTTTGGCTCAATGTCATTAATGTCTGATTCCTATGAGTTTCCCCTTTGACTCTTGTCTCATGATGGCTCAGCATCAGTATCATTAATACCACAAACAATTTAGGATTTCCTAGCTCTGAACACAGATACACTGATAAACACTTGCAACTTCCTTGGTACATATCTAGGGAGATTTCTAACATGATATTACCACAAAGCCCTTCTTCAAGGGCTGTGATGTTCATTTACTGAAAAGATCTCTAGAAACTGGCTTAGGTCTTGGAATCCATTAAAAGGCTATGACTGTCCCATAAGCTGAGATTCAACTCAGACTTCTTTGTGGCAGGTCTAGATTGATTTGTTGGTTCCAGTGGTAGAAATTAGTCTAGTGTTCAGTAGGAGGTCATTTATTCTTCATTGCTGGAGTCCCGGGATCAGTCATTTGTATGACTTCTTTGACCCCATCCCTGTTACAGCTAGCATAACTACTTTTTCTCCAGAAGTTGAACACTGATCTGTGGTTTCTGTACTTTAGGGCCTCATTATCCACACTGAGATCAGCGACTTCTTTTGCCAGTACTAATATAAAGTTGAACAATTTTGAAATTGTTTTTATGCATCACATTTCTTTTTATTTTACTCTTTTTGATGATTCTAGGGTTTGAACTCGAGGCCTGTCACTTGCTAGATGGTGCTGTACCCTTAAACCACTTTCTCAGCCTTCTTTGCTTTTGTTACTTTACAAACAAGGCTTCCATTTTGCCCAAGCTGGCAGAACTGTGACCCTCCTATTCATGCTTCCCACATAGCTAATGTGGGAATTGCTGTGCCCAGCATTTTATTGGTTGAAACAATGGTCTAGCTCACTTTTTGCCTGGGCTGATGTCAAATGGTAATTCTCCTGATCTCAGCCTCCTGAGTGGCAAGGATTACAGAGTAAGCCACTATGCCTGACACATGAGCCTTCTTGGTGATGTGCCTCACATTCAGTTACTCTAATTTGGGGTCATAGAGAAGGGTGGTAGGTTGTCAAGGTCGGCTCTATGGGCTTTTCACTAGTAGACATAGCTACATTGAGCCTGCTTAAGATGCTCATACTCATTCTCATGCTCTGGGAAATTCACATCAACTTCTTAACAAGGGTCCCTGCATTGTCATTTGCACTGGGGTTCTGTCAATTGCACTGTTTGGGAGGTGGGGTAGGAGGAGAAGCATTTTCTCTATTTCAGTTGAGGCAATTCATAGTCCTCAGGCAAGTTAGCATCTGCCTCAGCAGACAAAGGAATATTCTGCATCCGCTAGTAGAGGAGGCCAACATTGTTTATGAGTTCACAGTCAACTGACTCTCCAATATTTCCATTAAGATATTTTTTTGGAGGCCACCTCATTTTTAATTAGGTTCTGAGACCTTTGCTCAGGCAAAGGCTTCTAGTAAGGCTATCACTTGAACCTAAATTGTCCTATGTCTAGTTTTTGGCTTTGAGGTCATGGGTTGGATCTGAAATTTAATCTTGATCTTCAGATCTCAGCCTCCCAAGTAGCTAGGATTACAGGCATGAGCCATCTGCACCCCTAAAAATTGATCTTAGGTCTGTTATTTTTTATAAGTTCTCTACTACAGCTAGAAAAAAATCTATTCAACCCCACAGGTATTATCTTTCTCTTGTTCTTTATAATTTCTCATTAGGGCATCCGTTATATGCCTTGATTTCAATTACATTTCATTTCAAGAAACCCAGGGGGTCATTTATACAAATGTTTATTATTGTGTGCTGTGGACTTTTAGTGTCCTGCTTTCTATAGCGAACCAGAAATTATTTTCAAAGCCAATCAATTTACAAAAACCATTCTAGATTATACTTGCTTTAGAGGTAATCACATTGTGACACCAATTCCTTCTTTTATCATCCATCTTTTCCTCTTTGAGGAGGGGGGGTCCATCCTGTGTTTCTCAGCCTGTGAGTTCCCAGGGACTGTCATCTCAAGATTCTAACTGCCTCTGGCTTACTGTATGAATTTTGGGAGAGTTTCTTGGCTTCCTTTAGCCATGAAGGGAAACTAAGCAATGGCCTGCATCCTCTAGAAGGTACTTTAGGAAGCCTAAAAGATTCCTGGGAGGTTCATCAACAGGTGGCCAGGGCTGCAGCAAGATGACACAGCAGCCGGTAACAGAGACCTGGGACTTCTCATTGGCCACAGACCACAGTGCACTGACTGATTAATGATGCTGCTGTTCCCTATGGGAAACAAGGCCTGCTCACCCTCTCTCCCCACAGGTGTGCTGAGAAACAGGAACAAAAGGGGGCAACTGGGTGAGGCCATATCCAGATAGGAAGGACAGAGCAGTCTTGAACTGTCTCCTCAGGGGCCTACGAGTTAGTCACAGGCATTTCCTTAAGGAATCTAAAACACTTTTCCAGGCCAAAGCTGGAAATTCCAAATCTCCCAGACCCAAAGAAACACTCAACAGCCTGCTTTGGTTGAAATAGCTGCTCATATTTATTGGAAAAGCAGAACAGAATGTGTCTGGAGAGATCCAACCCTGGCTGTCAGTTACCCCCGCCCCGGCCTGCCATTGCCTTGGGTGGAAACAAAGTGCTTTGATGAAATGTTCCCCGATAGAATAAACTAGAAAAATGTTCCTTCTATTATAGCACACTATGAACAGTGCAATTAACAAAGGGAAACCTCGGTGGCTTCATGCTCAGGGCATAAGATCCCCTGCCAGGCAGAACAGCACGTAGACTTCTCCACCGTGCAGCAACCTGCCACCAAGACTTGAGTGACACAGGCTCTGTCTCCCTAGACTGACTGCCGGAGTTCAAAGTATCTGGCTTTCCTTAAGGTAGAAGAGTAGCAATGTGACAGGAGCGGCCATTTCCAGTGTGAGGGTAATGTCAGAAGTCCTGGGGAGGTTTCTGGATGGCAGATCACATAGGGTCAGAGACTTCTTTTAGTGAAATAGCAGTCTTGTAGGCTCATCACCAAAAGAGAACCAAGAGATGACCACTCTGCTAGCTGGGACTTGCTTAAGTGCTTAGTAATATTCTCTTTAACTGGAACTGCCTTTAGAAGCCTTTCCCCCACAGAAATGAGGTGCCTGATTGTCTAAGGAACTGATTTAAGGGCAGGGGCACTAATGCCCAAGTGTTACCTTCAAAGTATAGACAGACCTGGGGGGATGAGAAGGGAATATTTGCATAAAGCTCTTGGGAGCCTGCCTGGGAATGAGGTAAGGTCATCCCAAGGGGGAGGAAGGTGTCTTTGCAGAAGTTCACAGTGCATTCAAAGTCAGCAAGACTTTGAACTCAGAGACGTGAGAAGCAATGATTGAGCAAGCACCAAGTTAGCATCTAGCCGTGGCTGAGCTAAATTTCCATTGGGGCATGCATTTTGATGAAACATGGAGGGCCCATAAACGCAATTACTCTTTAGATTAAAGCAACCTGCAGCCCTAGGGAGCCGGTGTGGAAAGCAGGTATAATTCATCTTGTTTAATTACCACCGGCCCCACTCCCAGCTCCATTCCCTCACCTGTGATGAGCTTGTTACATCCTAACCTGCCTTTGTGGGGAGAAAAGCACTGAATGCAGAAGCATCCCCCGCTCCCTCCCCACCCCCCAACATTTCACCTGTTGGTATCCTGCTCCCAAAGAAGGGGGCACAGAGGCAACAGAAGGTTCCAGTACTTCATTTCAGCTCACTCCTCATGATGCATTGACCCATACTAATTTCTTTGGAAATCAAAGCTAAGCCCCATGATGTCTTTTACACTTAGGCTCTGGAATATTCTCTCCCCACTTTCCAGACTGCTACCCTCCCTGCCACGCCCCACTTCCTCAGAACTAAGGCCAGGCCCTAGACACAGCATTCACGGGGCCTCCTGCCTGTGGACTTCCAGGTACCTTGTTTGGGGTTTGGCCAGGAAAGATGAGTGGTGGAGAGGCTTGTCATTTTATCTGGATAGACTCCACCAAATGCATCCTAGATACCTCCTGTGAGATCTGAACTAGTGTACCCACGAAGCTAAATCCTCCTTCCCCCCCGCCAGGCCAGGCCAGGCCAGAGCCTGGAGTCCTCTGCACCTGCTACCCGCGTCGGTAGGGGGCGCGCGCGGGCTCCCGCCCCAGGGCGTTGATGTGCGGCTGCGCCCCGGCCGCCAGGAGCTTCCCGCTGAGTTTCTGGTTCACCAGCTCCAGGTGGCGGCTGTTCTTGCGCGCCTGCCGCAGAGACCGCTTGACCTTCTTCACCCGCTCACGGAGCTGCTTGTTCCGCTTCTCCAGGGTGGCCACCTTCTGCTGCAGCTTCTTGACGTGGTCCTCCTCCTCAAACAGGGCCTTCTGCACCGAGGAGCACATGAGCTGGGGACAGAGCACCGGGCAGAGAGGCAGGTGAGCGTCCCCGGCGCGGCCACACCCGCTCACCAGACGGGGACGCCGGGCCCTGCTCCCTGCGACCTCGCCTACACACACAGCCCTCCCTTTTGCTTTCTGTCCTTGGCTTCCTCCGAAGAGTCTGTTTGCCAATGATACTGTGAACAAGTATCACCTGTAGCAAGGAAAGATGGCGCCCCTGCCAGCCTCTGAGCACCAAAGGGCATGCGCGGAAAAGTGCACACAGGGTAGCCTGTGAGCCGGTGGGCAGATGCTCAGCCCTGCCCGCAGTTAAGATAAAAGCAAGTTGGAGATAAAAGCAAGTTCAAGCTGGAGCACGGGACTATTTTTCATCTATTAACTTGCAAAAATCAAAGGGCAAAGGTTTGGGGGAACAGCCACTGTCCTGTGGCATGAATCAAAGACATGCTCTAGCACCTTGTTATGGTCTGAATATACGTTCCCCGCTCCCCCAGGTTTCTGTGCTTGTTCCCCCAGAGGAGGCTCTACTTTAGGATCTGTTGGAAGCTTTAGGAGGTGGCCTAGCTGGAGGAAGTAGTCACTGGGGGGGGAGGGGTCCTTATGGAACTGTGTCTTGCCCTTGCCACTTCCAGTATCCCTCTTCCTGTCCACCGTGAGGCGCTCACTGTCATGTCTTTCTGTATCACAGGCCCAGAAGCAAGGGAATCAAAGGACCATGGGCTGAAACTTCTCTAATGGTGAGTCAAAATTAATCTTTGTTCAAGTTTTTTTTGGGGTGGGGAGGTGTCTTTGTTGCTATGACAAGGAGTTTGATGAACACACCACCACTTGTTATTTACAAGGCTGGAAAGCCATCTAGAAATGCCCATCAAGAGACATTTGGCTCAAGAAGTTAAGAGTACATCATTATACAAGTGAAAATGTGTCCTTCAGAGTAGGAGGCAGCTCTGAGGTACAAATAGTAAGTGTGGGTGTTAATATAGGGGGCACAGTGCAGATGAGTATGGATAACGTGATACCTTACAAACATGTCATCTGATAACCATACGGTCACAGTGGTAACAATGGCTGTACCTCAGAAGCAGAGGAGATAGAAGGGCAAAGACTTATTTTTACTGTCAACTCTTTGGATTGTGTGCTATATTCTAGTATCACATCTATATAAAGGGGTCTTTTCATATCCAGCCTCTTTCTTCTCCTACCTGCCCTGCATTATCAAGAGCTATGCTCCTGGCCAGACACAGTGACACATGTCTATAATCTCAGCTACCCAGGAGGAAGAGGCACGAGGGCTGAGAGGTTAGGACCAGCCTGGGCAAAGTTAGGGAGGCTGTATCTCAAAAGCAAAATGCAGACAAAAGAGTTGGGGTCAGAGATCAAAGTAATAGAACCCTTGCTTAGGAAGAGGAATGCCATAGGTTCAACCCACAGATGCTGTATCTGTGAGTTCTGCATCTGTGGGTTCAACCAGCCATCGATCAAAAATACTGTCAGAAAAATTCTAGGAAATGAGAGTGGAGCAAGGCAGCAAACGTGTAATACCAGCACTGGGGAGACTGAGGCAAGAGGATTGGGAGTTTGAGGCCAGCCTTGGTTACATAGGCCCTGCTACAAAGGAAACAACAAAACAACTTAAGTTCTGAAAAAGGAAACAGATTTTCTGTGTGCTGAGGTCTACACTGAATCTCTATGAATGAGATGTAGACATAACTACCACCTCCTCTCAGATCTTCTCTCCTCTCTCTCTCTCTCTCTCTCTCTCTCTAGCTCTCATCACTTAAGCATTGTTCACCTGGCATCTTGTTTGTGTGCTTTGTTAGGCTGTGAGGCTTGTGTCTGTACTGGCATGCATAATGGCCTTTTCTCTTGTCATTATTGCCTAAACAACACGGTAGGACAAATTATACAGCATGCACAGTGCACTGTGGTATTACAAGTGATGTAGAGATGATTATATGCAAAAACGTCATTTTGTTTTTGGTCAGTCATAGGGCTTGAAATCTAGGCCTAAGCGCTGTCCCTCAGCTCTTCAGCTGAAGGCTAGCACTCTACCACTTGAGCTACTGCGCCACTTCCAGTTTTCTGAGTGTTTATTGGAGATAAGAGTTTCACAGACTCTCTTGCCTGGGCTGGCTTTGAACCGCAATCCTCAGATCTCAGCCTCCTGAGTAGCTAGGATTACAGGCGAGAACCACTAGCGCCCGGCAACAATGTCATTTTATGAGGGCTTTGAGCCTCTGCAGATCTGAGGGTCTCCTGGAACCAATGCCCTGTGGATACTGAAGGAGTACTATATCCATGGAGCTCTACCGCCTATACTGCAATACAGTGGTGTGTTTACATGCGGACTCTGAAGCCAACTGACTTGCTTTCAGGTCCTGCGATTTCAACTCCAAGTGCTGTAAACCTTGAGCAAGCTTCTCGAGTCTGGGGCAGTGAACTCCATGCTGCATCAATTGTATTTCCCTTGTAGCACAGGTGGGCTCGTTTCCCCCAGCTTGTAGGTGTGTTTCAGGCTGACAGCATTCCACTGAGTCTCTCTAGAACCTGTCCCTGGATCATGCCTCATGGCTGGTTAACACAAGAATAGGAAAGCCATGACCCTTGTTCCAATCTTGGAACATCTCTGACGTCCTGTCCAAAAGTGTCCAATGGCTTAAGTGAGGACTTTGAGTTGTCTCTGCAGATCAGCTCCTCACTCTATTTTTTTGTCCTGCTTCTTCATCACCTGCCTCCTGTCCTAGATGCATCGCTAACCCTAGCAGCATGGTCTGGAACACTTCCAGTATATTCCACTAAGCTCAGGGACTCCTTCCAAGTTGTAGACCAGCCGCTCCCTTTTGTTCCTGTGTACTATGGGCTGTTCATGGCAGATTTAATAAGCTTTATCTGACAAGTGCTTCAGCCCATGCCCTAGTAGACAGCAGATGAACCTCTGGTAGCCACTGTCACAGAAGAAGTCTCTTGAAACTTTTAACCTTTGTGTTTAGACCTGGCCTGTGTAGACCAGCTTCACGCAGTTTTTGCACCAAGCCAAGTGGCTTCGGGTTGTGTCTTTACCATCTCAGAGTCTCTGCTGTGCTGTCTCCTTCCACCTGTAGTGCTGCCCCTCACATACAGCTCTGTCTAGAAGCAGGTGGCATAGCTTTCTGCAGGTCCAATTTGGTCTCCAGGGTACACAACAAATATGCCCCTAGGTCTTCCCATACTAGGATGAATAAGGCTCAGTGCCCTCCACAGAGACAGATCAGACTCGATGAAGCCTAGCTCGTGTTGGTCTCTGGCCAATTTAGACATATGATTTAAAAACAAAAACCTCACCCAGCGTTGCAGAAAATACCTGACATTTAATACAGTGCTTGGGCTTCTGGGGATAGTACTGTTCCAGGGACACCACGTACACAACACTGCCCTCTTCTGGCTAACATGAGACCAAAAAGATTAGGAGTTAGGCACAGAAACTTCCTGGGACAGGTGAGCCGATTTCGATTTTATGGGTAGGTGGGTTCTATATAACTTACTGAGGGTTGGACCAAGTCAAGAACTCAGAGAAAGCACTTTGTATCAACTCTTCTTAAGTCATAAGTTATGGTAGGTTCTTCAACCAAGAAAAGGATAAAAGGGGGCTAGCAAAGTCTAGTAAGCCAAGAGGACTGGGGTTTTATGTGGCTGCCTGGACAGAATCCAATGGTGTGCCATTACACCAGATCCAAGAGGAGTTACAAGTATTCCTCAAAAGCCAGGCACCAGTGGCTCATGCCTGTAATCCCAGCTACTCAGGAGGCTGAGTTTTGAGGATTGTGGTTCAAATCCAGCCTAGGCAGGAAAGTAAATAAGACTCTTATGCCCAATTTTTCACCAAAAAGCCAGAAATGGAACTATGGCTTAAATGAATAGGGCACTAGCATTGAGTTTCATCCTGACTTCCATTGAGTATTGCAGAGGAGGCTGGGGAAGGGAGCAAGGGACCAAGTTATGGTCACAAGTGAAGGCAGAGGGATGTCAAGGTAGGTGCTGATCCATCCTAAGGCTGAGTGATCTTCATGTGACCTCCCTAGTCACGCGTCTCCAATGATAAGACAAACCTATGGGGAATTCTTCCCCTGTATATCTACAGAAAGTCTTCCTCTCTGACTTGCTGTTTCTCCAAGAAATGCAGGGGCTCTGAAGAAGTTTCAGAGTCAAGCTCTCTACTGGTTAAGGAAATGTGTCTCTGTTACCATCTAGACTCAGCCTCTGTCCTGTTTAAACCATGTCAGTTTCTATAAATTCATTCATTCATTCTGGCAAAAGCACTTGGGTATTTCTGTAAGGTCCAGCAAATTTTCCTGAGTTATTCTGCAATATGCCAGTAAGCTTTGCAGCTCTCAAAACCAAAAACAGTGTATTTAAAAATTCTTCCTTTCACAGCAGCAGATGTACCCAATCCTGAGGGAATTCCTGTTTCACAGCTGCTTTCAATTTAAATAACCACCTAGAAAGAAAGACCAGACAATGTGTACTTTCCCAAATGTAGAAAACAAGGCAAAGACAGTCCAAAACCAACAACAGAGACAAGTAGCTTGCCGTTTTAACGCCTTATTTCTGTTCTTGATACTCAAAAAAAGAGAAATGGAGGAGGGGGGGAGGGAGGGAGAAAGGGAGAGAAGAGGAGGAAAGAAGGGAGGAAGGAGAGAAACTGGAGAACTGATCAGCAAACTATGGCTTGTGGCCAAGTCCAGCCCACCATCTCTTCTTGTGCATAAAGTTTTATTAGAACACCGCTATACTTGTGCATTTATATGTCGTCAGAGGTTTTTGTGGTCCACAGCCTAAGGTATTTTTTTTCACTATCTGATCTTTTTTTTGGGGGGGGGGATCTGAACTCTGACCTCAGGAAGGACTTGAGATAAATGCAATACAGATACAAGAGCTGGTGATTGGATGGATTAAGGGGGAAGATAACGCACAGCAAAGAATGAAGGAAAGCGAGAGGAAAAACATTTGGTACTTTTCACACCATTTTG